TTCTAAAGAAATTAAAACATTTTCGCGGGCCCCTAAAAGGATTGTGGGCCACATCCAGCTGCCTTGAAACTATTCTCTTCTAAAGTTTTAGTCCAAATGAGATACGGGACACAAATTTTGCGATTTACAAACCTTCAGACGCTAAAACTGGTCCAATCAAAATTTCTGAGATCTTTATTTAATACGCCAAGATGTACCTCTAATGTCTTGTTGAGACAAGAAGCTGGTCTCAGTACAGTCGAATTGAATATCTGGTTGCATTCTCTCTGCTTTTGGCTTAAAGTCCACCTTTTTCCCGTTGGGTTATTTCCTTTTCTATTGGCCGCATCCCCTTACCCTCAGTGGTCCACCAGAGCCATTCACAAACTGAGAACATTAGGATTGGACCCGAACCAACTACTGGAAAGTGGATATGATAGGGCAAAAAATATCGTTCACCAACGTCTCAGAGATATTGAGCAACAAATATCAACAACAGAGCAACAACAGAGATATTGAGCAACATGCTGTACTCTCGCCTCTTTACAAATCTTTGAAACCCAAAATTTATATGACTGCTCCTTTATATTTAGCCAATATTCCCAACCCAAATCACAGATGGGCTTTTTCCAGAGCTAGATTTGACACTTTCCCATCGGCAGTTCTTGCCGGAAGATTTCAACGCATCCCTAGGCATTTGAGATTTTGCTCATGCCCCTCCGAGTCAATTGAGACCCTTTCCCATATATTATTCCAGTGTTCCTATCATGCAGAAGAAAGAGCCCTTTTAATTACACCTATAATAAGGTCATTCAGGCACCAAGGACAATTAGTAATCTGAGGAACTTTTGCTGAAACATCTATTGGGGGACAAATCCACTGTAATATCAAGGAAGGTTGCCAAATTTCTCTTTATTGCATTTACAAAGCGTAAGCACCTCCTCAATGCTCCTCATGATGTCTCTTCTCTGTAATGCTTTTTGCTTTTGATTCTGTATGCTGTTTAATGGGTCTCTGACCGTAATAAAAATGAAATTAAATGAAATGATCATGGGCATGTGGGCATCTTTGGAATTCTGACAGGAGGGGGTGTTGTTGGATCTTTACAGGAAGTGGTTAGCCCTTGTATGATGTGGGACGCTGGACTAGATGGACCCTCAGTGGTCTGATCCAGCAGGGCTCTTCTGATGTTCTCATGTTCCTTTCCTTTCAGGTGAAGTACGAATGCCCTCAGGCAAGACTGCGCGTCCCCACATCACCGATAACAAGGATGGCACCGTGACGGTGAAATATGCCCCCGTGGAGAAGGGCCTGCATGAGATGGACATCAAGTATGATGGCAACCACATCCCAGGTGAGCTCCGGAGTGAGGAGCACAATTAGGGAGCCAAGTTGGCTCCATTAGATGATCCTTTAGTGGCAGGGAAGACGTCAAGAGTGGGTCACCTGTGTTTGAGGAGCTGTGGCTCAATGGCAGAGCATCTGCCTGGCATGCAGGATGTTCCAGGTTCAATCCCCGGCATCTCCATTTAAAAAGGATCAGACAGGAGGTGATGGGAAAGACCTCAGCCTGAGACCCTGGAGAGCTGTAAAGAGGGGCTGCGGCTCAGTGGCAGAGCCTCCGCTTGGCATGCAGAAGGTCCCAGGTTCAGTCCCCGGCATCTCCAGTTGAAAGAACCAGGTGGTAGGTGAAAGGCCTCTGCCTGAGACTGTGGAGAGCTGCTGTCAGTCCAAGTAGAAGACGAAGAGATTGGATTTATGCCCCGCCCTTCACTACCCAACCAGCAGCATCCCCAGTTAAAAAGGACCAGGCAGGAGGTGATGGGAAAGACCTCAGCCTGAGACCCTGGAGAGCTGGAAAGAGGGGCCGTGGCTCAGTGGCAGAGCATCTCGGCATGCAGGAGGTCCCAGGTTCAATCCCCAACATCTCCAGTTAAAAAGGACCAGACAATAGGTGATGTTAAAGACCTCAGCCTGAGACTCTGGAGAGCTGCAAAGAGGGGCCGTGGCTGAGTGGCAGAGCCTCTGCTCGGTCCCGGTTCAGTCCCCGGCATCTCCAGTTAAAAAGGACCAGGCAATAGGTGATGGGAAAGACCTCAGCCTGAGACCCTGGAGAGCAGCTGCCAGTCTTGAGTCGACAATACTGACCTCAATGGACCAGTAGTCTGATTCAATTCAAGGCAGGTTTATGTGTTCATGTATTAAAGGGAGGGGCTGTGGCTCAGTGGTAGAGCATCTGCTTGGCATGCAGAAGGTCCCAGGTTCAGTCCCCGGCATCTCCAGTTGAAAGAACCAGGTGGTAGGTGAAAGGCCTCTGCCTGAGACTGTGGAGAGCTGCTGTCAGTCCAAGTAGAAGACG